GGAGGATCTGGCCATTGCCAAAACTCCAATAGATGCTTATTTACAAAAGGTCTCTGGGCCACTGCCGCTTCAACCTTCGAGGAGGATTGTAAGGATGGGTGGTGCTGGATAGAGATTGTGCAAGGGGATTTGGATGATAGGTAAGGTTCTGGTGAAATTTGGAGAATTTTTCTGGAATAAGGTCTAGGACAAATGGGATATTAAGGTCATGGTGTAGGATTTTGTTATTTACATAGAACGGAGCATCAACTATTGTTCGAAGGACTTTAGATTGAAAGGATTGAATACGTTTGATGTTAGAAGCTTTTGCTGTCCCCCACAGTTCAAGTCCGTATGTCCATATAGGTTTCAGTATTGTCTTGTAGATAAGTAATTTGTTTTCAATAGAAAGTTTGGATTTTCTGTTTAGTAGTCTGTATAGCTGGCCGTATCGTCGGTTGAGTTCTTGTCTTTTGAGTCTAGTATGTGGGTTCCACGTTAGTCTTCGGTCTAAATGAAAGCCAAGATACCGGACTGTGTCTGAGTAAGGAAGCTGGATGGAATTAAAGTGTACTGGTGGACAGGAACTGCGTCGGAGTGTAAAGGTAATATGTTGGCATTTAGATTCATTAACTTTAATGCGCCAGTTATTACACCAGTGCTCAATCAAGGTGAGGTGGTTTTGGAGATTTAAGGATGCTATGTTGGGATCTGAGTCGGATGATAGAATGGCGGTGTCATCAGCAAAAGTTGCCAGGAAGGTATCGGGATGGACAGGGATATCGGCGGTAAAGAGGATGTAAAGGACGGGACCCAATACGCTACCTTGAGGAACACCTGCCTCAATTGGATAGCAATGCGAAAATTCAGTACCGCAACGAACTCGGAAGGTACGATCTGAGAGGTAGGAACGGAGAACAAGGTACAAGGACTGAGGAAGATAGTTTTTCAGCTTGGAAAGAAGCCCGGCGTGCCATACCCGGTCGAAAGCTTGAGCTATGTCCAGAAATGCACCCGAGCAATATTGCTTGCTTTCCAATGCTGCGGAAATATGATCAACCACTCGGAGTCCTTGTTGGACTGTAGAGTGTTGTGAACGAAATCCGAACTGATGGGAAGGAAGAGTTTGGGATTCTATAAAGGGTAGGATGCGTTTCAGGAGGATCTTTTCAAAGATTTTTGAGAGAATCGGAAGAAGGCTAATTGGTCTGTAGGACGTTGAGGTGTTGGGAGGTTTGCCTGGTTTTGGAAACAGGATAATAGTGGAATGTTTCCACAAAAGAGGAAAGCGGGTGGTTCGTAGGATGCTATTGTATATGTATGTAAGGAATATGACAGCTTTAGGAGGGAGTTGTCTAAGGATCTGAGAGGTAAGGAGGTCGTATCCAGGTGATTTACGGGTAGGTAGTTTTTGTAAGAGGAATTTGACCTCAGAAGGATTAACTGCTTTAGGCGGTAAGGAGAGTGGGATGGGTGAATTAAGGAATTCCTCTACTGCTGACGTGTGGGTGGGATTGGATTCTGGATGAGAGGTGAATGTAAGGGAAAGGTGTTTGGCGAATTCTTCGGCTCTATCTTCGTCAGATGCTGCCCAAGAGCCATCACCTCGACGGAGAGGATGTGATATATGATGGGGTCTTAGGATATGTTTGGTGGTCTTCCATAGGGAATTGTCATGAGAAGAGAGGGAAGTGAGGTAGGAGTTGAAGGATTGGGATCTGAAGGTGGCCAATTCTATCTTTAGTTTTTTGCAAAAATAATTATAGGATTGGCGATCGGTGGGGTGTCTAGTACGTTGCCATAATAATCTGGCACGGCGTTTGGTATGGATTAGGTCTATGAGGTGTTGAGGTAACTTATTTTTCTTAGGAGTTCTTGAGGAGTGGTTTGGAGAGGAAGCAGTCCAGATTGCTTGTTGAATAGTGGTGGTAAAAAAGTGTACGGTATTGTCAAGGTCATCTGGGGTTTTCAGGGTCATTCTGAGGTCAATTTTTTCGGTAAGGATTTGGTGAAAGATTTTCCAGTTAACTGGGCCTCTGATGAAGGACGGTGGAGAAGACTTAGGAATAGGAGCTAGAGATAATTGGAGTAATAATGGACTATGATCTGAGGATAGTTCGGCAAGAGGGGTAAGGGAATGATTGAGGGGACCTAAGCCACTGTGGATGAAAAAATCAAGGATATCGGGATTGCGGTTAGGATCTGTGGGCCAGTAGGTAGGTGAGTTGGGTGGAAGGAGACTGAAACGTTGGGTATTGAGTGCAGACATGAATTCAAGAAAGGGTGCATTTAAGTCTGCACCCAGGATGAAATGATGACCTAAGGAGTTGAGGAGAGAACTGAACTGGACTTTGGATATGGATCTGTTAGGAGGGCAATATGCTGATGCAAGGGTGACTGGAAAGAAGAAGGCTTTGATTACAATAGCGGTTGACTGTAGGAAATCTTGAGTTGGTAATGGGAGTAAGTGATGGGAGAGGGATTGGTGTACGATGACAGCAGTGCCGGCATGTGCTCTGCCATCGGGGTGGTCAGTACGGTATGTTAAATACTGTGGGATTTTTAAATGCTGTTTTATGGTCATTCGAGTTTCTGTAATTAGGTCTACGTCAATGTTCTTGTCTTGTAGTAAAGCTGTTAGTTCGTCAACGTGATTTCTAACACCATTCGCATTCCAAAGGAGAATGGACATGGGTTTTGGGATGTGGGCCATTAAGGATTTTTCAAAGGAGGGATGAGGTGAGATACGAGATTTGTAAGGAGTGATATGAGTGGAGTGACTAGGGATTTGAAATCGGTTAGGAAAGATGCTAACAAACTAGTGAGATCTGTTGCATTTGAAGGAGGAGATGAGGAATTTGAGGTTGTTGATGATTATGTGTGTTAGGATGAACAGAATATTGAGATTGGGGCTGAGGTAGTTGCTGCGGCAGGGCTTCACATGTATTATTGGGGTTCTTACCTCCAAGTAGTTCAGAGTATGACAAATTATTGTTAACAATTCTAGAAGGTTCTCTTCTTGGTCTGGTTGTCTCATCTTGAATCCGGTTCTTCTGGTATCTGGATTTGAGGCTCTTATAGGTTTGGCAGCCTTTGTAGTTGGCCGGGTGTCCCTCCTGGCATAGTGCACACACTGCAGGATCTTGTATTGGTTTGGTGCACTCCACAGATTTGTGCTGTTCACCGCATTTCACGCAACGCGGCAGATGGTGACAATAAGTTTTCGTGTGGCCATACGCCTGGCAATTGTGGCACTGCACAATTTCCTTCTTGGGGTATGGCTTCTCTATCTTCACGATAGTGTAGTACAATCTCTTGATATCATATATTTTTTCAATGCCAGGTGATGGCTCTAGATCCACGAAAAATAAAGGTAGTGGAGCTTTATTACTCACTCCTGGCTGCTCCTTATTCTCCTTCAGAACGTTGGTTACCTGACGCACTTTGAAACCAAGCGTCGCTAGTTCTTCTTTTATCACTTCAGTTGGGGTTGAGGAGTGTAAATTTCTTACCACCACTCGTAGCGATCTCTCCTGTTTCAGCTGGTACGTGTGGAAATTTGCATTCGTTTCTGACAGGTACTTCACGTATTTTTCGGTAGGCTTCTGCAGTATCAGGTGTTATTTTTGTGTCGTTAGTCCTGTTGAGGCAAGAATAACTGCCGGAGCAGATTTCGTTTAGCTGTGTACACAGTAGTTGAAAATTTTTGATATTTTTTACAAATATCGGAGGAGGCCTTGGTTCCCTGGGTACTGCTGCTGACTCCATTACTTCTCTGTCATTATGAAGCACTTGGAACGGGTTTGGAGTGAAGAAAGGAGATTCTTCAACCATTTCTTGCGATGAGGTACCTGGTTGAGGCTGAGGTTCTGTATCTGAAGTTTTCACTGTGGTTATTGGAGCTATTTCTCGCAGGCAGCGACGAGTTTTTTGTTTCACTGGTGAATCACGAGGGGTGCTAACGCCGTCTGACCGAGTCCTCTTAGTGGGCACCTTACTGGACATCACTGGCTGACAATGCCGCATATCATAAGAGAAGAAAAAAAAATTAAAAAATAAAAAAAAAAAAAAAAAAAAAAAAAAAAAAAAAATGTAGCAATCTGTAAATAACAACTGTTCTGGTGTACACTTCAACTATATTCAGTAAATAATCAATGAGATTCCGCTGAAAAATAGGCAACAACTGAGAGAAGATTTCAGAACACGTCCTTCGCATCAGCTGATCCACTGCCTTCTGTTAGATAATATGATAAAAAAGTCGAAAAAATAAAAAGGTGGTCTACAAAAATATTGGTCTATTTAGTGTTACATCCACCAGCAAAATGTCAAAATAACGAGATTGTATCCAAATATTCCAATATTTTTGTAGGCTACCAATTTTTTTTCGTTTGTGTGATCATATTATCTTACGATTCAATTGGAAAGAAAATGGGTAATTAATAATTCTTTAGTAATAAATTAAAAAGACAAAATTTGCCGATCTTGCAAGACAATGTTTGACAGATTGAAAACTCCCCCGAGAATTTTCGTTAATCCAATACCTGTAGGTTACGATGAGATCTTACGGTGAGAATACAAAATTTTAGGCGGGTGTTAATAATTTGATAAAATAGGTTCTATATCACTGAGGGTCTAATTGAATTGAATTGTAAATGAAGACACAATAAAATATATGGTAGTAAGTCAAAAATTCAATTAAACAATATAATCTGCATTGAAAGGAAATGGAAGGTATAAATGGATAATAATAGTAAAATCTAAAGGTGAAAAGTTTTTAATATTTCCTCCTTAAATCCACACAAATTAATCAGTTACGATCAACTGACAATGAATATCAAAGTTGCAAAATGGTAATACATGTTTACATTATAGTGGATAAAAGTGATTTTAATTCGTAAAAACACCATTTGTCCAATTGGTGCTTCAGTTATTCATGAGAGAAGATAGATTCAAACCTATTGGCTCCAAAACATAAATAAAAGGCCATCAGTCATCAGAGAATAAAAAACTGTTTACAGAAACTAGTCAACAAATATCTCAAGATATGAAGGCAAGTTAATATGGGCGGGACTTGTAGCTCGGATCAATCCATTAGGAAGTCTCAACACAACAATTAATGCCTCAACAGTTGGCAAGAGACCAACAACAAGATGGATAGTTGGAGAGAACAAAGATGCTGTAGGGCTTGATGCACGTAACTGGAAACCAATAGTAGCAAGACAGAGAGAGGTGAGCAAGTTTTAAAATAAAAAAAAAAAATATATATATATATATATATATATATATATAATGGAGATTTTTAATAAAAGTTACAATCTGTATCTTACCTGTATTCTGTATTCTGTTTTTATAAAACTATTATTTAATTTCGTACTTACAATTTTAAAACATTATAATATGATAAAATGAGAAGAAAATATGTGGATTTTTGGAATAAAAATAAAAATAAAAACAAAGCATTTTATAAGTAACATCATAGACTAGTATTCTCTATGTATACGGATATATTTTAAGAAAAAAACTGTAGTAATAATATTAATTTAATGTTGAATAATGATTTGCTTTGTATTGTATTCCAAAAAATAGAAGGAACTTCCTCGATGAACTAGGTGTTGATATTGGGGAGCTAACGATATTGGCCGGGAATATTATTTTCGACTTCCTGGAGATCATCCACTATCATTTATAAAGTAATTGAGGATATCTTTTAATAATTATTTATTCATTTATTTATTCAATTCTATTTTTTTTAGCATCGTCTTATCTTTTTATTTATTTTCGTGGAGTTACTTTGGTATATATGTATGAGATTTAGTGTTGATTTCCTAGCATTTGAAATTTTTTTGTTTTTAGAAAGTGTGTATTTCAGGCAATGCTAATATGCAAGCTTCATGTTTTTTATTGTTGATACTTTATAGGAATAGCGTTATGAAAAGGGAGGAAAAAAATACATCTATATATATAGATATAAAAATTGAAAAATGTAATGTAATAGTTATGTCAATATGGATTAATAAGTATGCTGTGTAGTAGGGCAGCATGTATTTCTCTCTTTGAAAAGATCTAAAATAATTATCATAGAGTAATGGTTATACATTATAACGTAAATATGGTTTGTTAAGGTTCCTCACGAGCTTCCAAAAAAATCCAACCCAACCTCATCATGGCGAGATAGAATTTAATATAACCTCCTGGGAAACCCCCTGGGTATTTATAGATAGGCTTGATAAATTCGATTTAAGCAATTCGATATTCTTAGTTCACTGATATCGTTTTCAAAACCACGCTAAATTTTTGAAAATTATTATAGAATATTATCTGATTTTATTTTTGTGTATATTTATGTAACTTATAATTTAATATAAATATTGTCATATCCTTATTTGATTTCTTAAAAAAAAATGTATATAAAGTAATAAATTTCAAGCAAAAATCTTAAATTTCAAGCAAAAATCTTAAGCAATGTTTAACAAAGTATCAAAAGAATGTTTTTTTTCCTACTAGATCTTTTTTGTATTTATTTTAAATTCACTGTTTAATTAACATTATTTGTATAATATATATCTATTTTTTAAGTGTTTAGGTATTATTTTAGTAAGAGCTTATCGAAATCAGTGTGTTTAATTTATAAATTGAACTATATTTTTAGTTTTAACATAAATAATAAATGAATATATTAATTTTGTCTATTGATCAAACAATAATAGAATCCTTGTTTATATTAAATATTTTTACCTGTTATACATATCTGTGCCCCGGAGATAAACGACACCATGTCGAATTTTTTATTAAATAATTTTTAGCAGAGAAAATGGGTATAGTGTTGTTTACCTTCGGTGTACAGGTATCTTCCATCATAATGTTGAATGTATAGTCTAAATTCGGATATTTAATTTTTTTTAAATACGGATATACTGATCCTAACAAAATTCTAAATTGGTCAATATAAAACCTAAATAGTTATTACAAAATTATTATTATCAATTCAAGTCATTGAACGTTTCTTAAAGTATTGCAAGCTTCGCACTGCTATCATCGCTGTCAATTTGGACATGTCATGACTTACGCGAGCACATTTTGGGGTTCCCACATTCTCAAGAACCACTTCAAAATAATTACAATCCCATCTTCTTCTGTCGAAATCATTCCTCGCCTACCCTAGTTAAGGTTAGAGTTTATATAGCGTGTAACCAAACTTCTCTTAGCTGAACGTTTACACAGCCAAGTTTCTCTCTTAGAATATTCTTTGACTTACAAGGCAACTTCAAATGCTATTGATATTTTCGATATGACGGCATAACATTTGAATATTTAAGTATCCATGACGTGTTTTAAAATTAATATTTAATATCTAACTATTAAATCTTTTTTTTAAACCGTAATTTTACTTATCTACACACTTTAATTTTATTTTTATGATACTTTTTCTTTTTATTTTCATATGTATCTATTATAGACAAGATGAGAGCAAACATAATGGTTCGAAACGTAATTGGTGTTTTAATCATTAGGGATGGTTATATTATGAGATTTCTGAAATCCAAACTCTCTGAACTTATCCAGAAATTAATGCATTTTATTTATTCTAATTTTATTGGTTATCAGAATATGAATGCAAGTTTGTGGTTTTGAAATTAAACAAATAAAATGAATGTTAAGAGACTATTTTTAATAATCAAAATATGTTTGGTTATAGTACACTTCTGCCAAGGTTTTGATAACTTTTCCATTTTCTCTAAATAGAATTTCTAATCGTCATTATTATTAACGAATCTCAAATTAAGGATATTCAATGCTATGAGAAAGCCAGTTCTTATATATGACTGTGAGAACCTGGACACTAACAAGTACCATAGAAAAAAGTGTTGAAAGATTTTAGAGAGAAATCGATAACCGGAGCGATCTAGGATCAGAGTAGTAACATACGGATAAGATAGACCAATAAAGAACTGCTAACAGAAATGGATCAATCAATATCCCATGATATGAAGGCACGGAGGTTAAGATGGGCGGGGCATGAAGCTCGTAGCAATCCATCTGGAAGCCTCTACGTAACTATGGATGGCTCAATAGAAGGCAAAATACCACGTGGAAGGCCAAAGAGAAGATCGTTAGCAAAGCAGGCCAATATATAAGGAGAAAATACAGAAACTAAAAATATATGAAATAGAGGTCTAGCAGGTCCATTTTTCGATGAGGTTGCCAGATATTGTTAAACTGTAAGGTATTAGATTGGTACTCTTATCTAGTGTTGTCCAAATGCCAGACCGAGACGAGTCTTGGTCTTGCAAACTCAGTCTTAGTCTTGCGCAAGAGTATAGTAGCTTATTGATATAAAGATATTACTGTAATTTTTTAGATAGGAAAAACCTAACTAAGCCTGAATGAAAAATTAGAGTTAAGTGCAAACGTATATTGGTCGTACCAAATCGTAACTAAAATTGTCAAGTATTAGTAACTATTTTGCCTCAATTTTTTTTCTTCAAAAAATCCGTTTTTTTACCAGTCTTGGTCTTGGTCTTGCAGCAGTTAGGCGGTTTCGGTCTAGACCTGTTGTACTTTGTAAATTCGGACCGTCTTCACTTTAAGCCAGGTTTTAGAGAAGTCCATTGAAAAAGAGAAATAGTTCTCTTTCTGCTTAGTGCCTCACACTTTGGATTGTGCTAATATCTGCTAGTCTTTCAGAAAAGGTCGTTTTCCTTTCCGATTCCTTAAAAAATCATCGGCAAATGCACTAAACAGAAGCAGAGCTATTTCCTTTTCTCGATAGACCTCTCTATAACCTGCTTCAAAGTGAAGATAGTCCCAATGTGCAACTTCAGAAGCGGTTTTCACAATAATAAACCTCGTTTACTTACTCCAGACCAGCTGACTTGCCAATTGTTTCGAACAAATCTTTCTCGTTGATAAAATAGTCTTCACCTTTTCTTTTTCGGTGGACTTCTCTATAACCTGACTTAAAGTGAAGACATTCTGAATTTGCAACTTATTTCCCAATGTGCAACTTGAGTTTCTCAATCCATATAAAAACAATCATGTAAAGTACAAGACTAAGACCGATATTGTGCAACACAACTTTTACCCTACTGCATTATTTATGGACAACCATATTTTATTAAATACACACTTAGTAAGTTTATTTTGAAAATGACCCGTATGACTCCCTATTTTCTTTTAACTGGATATGCATGGATAGCTTTGCTAGTTTGCTGATAGATGAAGTATTATGGAAGTTGTGAAGAAAAGCAAACTATATCACTTATTGGTTGTGCCAAAGAGGGGTTTTCGTTTAAATATCCCGCGTTACGGCGAGTGGTGGGGGCAGATCTAAAAGATAAAATTTTAAGCCCTGAGAAGAACTGGTTGTATCTGCCCACCGGCACCCACTGGCCAAACACCATCTCCAGCACAAGTACGGAGAGCTCAACAGGTAAAAAAGATGTGGGCTGGCATATAGACGGTAAGCTGTTTTTTTTTTTTTTTTTGCACAATCATTAACCTGCCCATCCCTTGAGATACAGTCCATTGCTTAAAAATTAGAATGTTACCTTAAATATTTGGAATGTTGCCTTATTGAAACTCATACTAGCTATTTTTCCATACTTAGAGAGTTGCCTAAAGACTTATACTAGATAGGACTGGGAGCGGACTCACGTTGGTAGGATGGGTTCTCCTCTATGTACTGCTGGAGCGCGTTGGAGAACTGGTAGAGGGCGGCGCACATGTTCCTCACCCTCACGGGCAGCTCCTGGAGGACGGCTGGGGAGCAGTCCGGCCCGGGAGCGGCCAGGGCCCCCGTCGCGATGAGGCCTGCTGAGAGCACTGTCCACACGCAACTGAAGTTCATTCTGCAAACAGATCGACCAGCCTTCGATAAGTGGGCTTCATATTTATGTACAAAGATATTTATTTTATTTATTAGTTATACATATTCCTATAATAATTTTGCCATCTACCTCGGTATTCAGCAAATATGATATCAAGGAGAAGAAATGATAGCATAAAAAAAAAGAATAATAAAAACAAAACAAAAAGACAAAAAAAAGACAACAACACATAACACACACACACAAAAGATAATGCAGCAAGTAGCTCAATGCAACAAGTCTCTTGGCCAGCGCCTCAGCAGTCTTCTGGGCGGATTTGTGGCAGTAGATAGAGCTTGAGTAAGTGGATTGGAATTTAGAGTCAGTCTGTCATGAAAATTATTAAAGCGGTCAGTGGCAGTTGCCGTGATGAAAGGAATGTTAAGGCCAGTGTGTAACGTGAGGTTTGAAACATAAAAGGGTGCGTCTACAATTTTCCGAAGGACTTTTTACTGGAATGACTGGATGATTTTTATATTTGATTTCTTTGCTGTTCCCCATAATTCGATCCCATATGGCCAAAGTGTTTTAATGAGGACTTTGTAAATAGTTAGTGTATTAGTCACAGATAATTTAGAACGTCTGTCAAGTAGCCTAGAAGGAAGTCCGTATCGCTGATTAAGTTCTTTTATTTTTTGTTTTATGTGGTATGTCCATGTCAGTCGTTTGTCCAAGTGGGGGCCCAAATATCGTACAGTTTTTGAAGGTGGTAGAGCGATGTTATTGAAGAACACTGGAGGACAAGAGGCATGTTTAAGTGTAAATGAAACAAATTGGCTCTTAGACTCGTTCATTTTTATTCTCCATCTTTTAGCCCAACAAGCTATGTCGTCTAGGTGTTCTTGAAGCACCTGAGAAGCCTTAGCTGCATCCTTGATAGACGTTAATATTGCCGAGTCATCAGCAAATGTAGCCAACAGTGTTTCAGAATGTTGTTGGATTACTAAGATATAAAGCAAGGAAACATTAACATTCAACACTGTCGAAATAAGACATTCCTACAAAAATTGTTACTGAATCTTTAGCGTGTTGAACCCTGAAGAGGTCAGGATTGATTTGGGTCTTTTAATAGGCAAGCTTAAGTATAGAAGGAGCAAGGTGAGGCTTTGCCTAGTGGAAGTTCGTCCCTTCTATTTTATCCAAACGTGTTATGTTAAATTAAATTTTTTTTTTTTAGTGCTACCAGTGGGTAGTTTCTCAACAAGTGATTTCATGTTATTATTTTCTGTTATCAAATTTACAATACGTATTTTATTTATTAATACAAGTGTACATGTCATAAATTAAAAAAAAATATTTTTTTTATTTTTTATTTATTTAAAAATATAACAATCTGTTACCTGGACGATAATTATAGTGATATATGAACACATTCATACTATATATACAGAAAATATAAAATTAACAAAAGTAAAATAATAATAAAAAAACAGGTACAATAAAAAATAAAATAAGAGGAGTTTCTTGGGGGTTCGGCAAAATTAATACTAAATAATTAAGTAGAATTATTTAATTTTTGCCGAAGTTTCGGATTAGGATTCTAAATTATGCAATTATTTTAGTTAAATTATATAATTTTGTTATTCTCATATTATATCAACGGTCAACCATCTCTACATCATTAAAAAATAAAATAACCTAAAGACAAGTAAATTAAAAACATATAGACACAGTCATACCTATACACAATGTCATGTTAATAGAAAAGATTTCTTTGTAGATATTACTTGCCTGTTAGAAGAAGGATTTTAAATTATGCAATTATTTTAGTTAAATTATATAATTTTGTTAGCTCTATACATATTATATTTGAGCGATATATATATATATATATATATATATATATATATATATATATATATATAATATATATATATATATATATATATATATATATATACATATATATATATATATATGTACTGCAGAAAAATTAGAAATCAGACAATTAATTTTAAAAAAATTAGCAAGACTGATACAAAACGTTATGTTAAAACGTGGAACATGGTCAGAAATAGAACAGAATGTTGACAATATTTAAAAAAGATTTCTTCGGTTTTATTAAAAAAAAATAGACTTAGACCAATTGGTGGTTGAATGTAGGAATGCGGTTTTAATTAAGAAATATTTTGCTTTGCTTGCTGTGCTTTTTATTATTTTTTCTCAATAGTTTTTTTTTTCATTTTCATTTGTTTTTACTACGTTTTATTTCATCTTATTTTTATTTATATTGTAGTATGCTGTCTTTTATTTTTATATTGAATTTTTTTTTATTATTATAATTTTTATAATTTGTTAACAAATTTAATTAATTTGTTAAACTAATATTGTAAATTATATGAACATATATTCTGAATTGCAGAATGTAACATGTACTATATATAGTGTGACTAGTTACAATAGGCATGGATAATATAATACTTATTTAATAAACTCTCTTTTTTAGGGGTTGCCATATAAGGGAAATAATAATAGTAATAATACATGTATATATATATATATATATATATATATATATATATATATATATATATATATATATATATATATACATTTTGTATATATATATATATATATACAAAATGAGGATCAGGTGAGCTTCATATTGCAAGCGAGATAATAACCTTACTCAGTGAGTAAGGTAATGTTGAACAATGTTCCACATCCAGGTTTCGAAACCTGTTGTGACAGATAATTGTTTATTTTATTAAATCAGCCATGGATCGATCTTAAGGACGCTAGATCTTTCTTGTTTCACACCATTTTAAAATGTGTAAGGGTGGAAAACCGCATACTCTTTAACTTATCCTGGGAATTTATTTCAACTTAGCAACTGCTCATATTAACTTAGGAAGGAGAGGATTGTGAACGAATATATGACATAAACTTTACGATGACTTCCTGATTTTAATTTACATGCCCCAAAATGTTGTCGAAACCCATTTCGCCAAATAGCAAGGAAGGGCGTTAAATAATAAATGACTTGTTTAGTTTATTGAATGGTTGCATGCAATGAAACTTTTTTCATAAATATTAGAACAAGTTTCGGAACATCGCCAAAATATGGTTGTATATTTAACGATCCTCATGTCCCATAGAAAATATATATCATTTAACAATCAATAGTAATAGTAATAATCAATAGTAATAATCAAACTACAATATTAAATAGCTTTGATAGTAATTCAGAGATAATTAAACGTATAACCTACAAATAAAAAAAAATGTGAAAAGCTGCCAAAAAAATAAAAAAAATAAAAATAAAATAGTCCATCACTGAGGTCATATTTTTGTCCGAGGATTCTAAAACCAATTGAAAAGTTGAATTTTTTTTATCCTGATATAATCTTTTATCGAATTAAATTGATTAAAAAAACTAGTGTAATAGAAAAAAAATATACCCTCAAAACTCAATTTGGAGGGACCGAAAGTGCACAAAAACTATAAAAGGTGAAAATTCACGAAATAAATGGCGGGGGTGGGGAATAAAAAAAAATTGTAATTCTCAAAGACAATTTTCTAACGATAATTAAATTCACCCAAATAAATCCTTCGGTTGAATTATTTATTTATGCAAATTTATGATTTGTATGGTTAATGATTCAATTTTGAATAATTAAGTCTGTAGATGCTTTACAACTCGGTATTTAAATTATTTCCTGCTTCTATATTACCATTACAGTTTTGTGTTTAAATATTCCTTTTATAAATATCTTGTCAGAGGAGCTTTAAATTATAATTAAATTTTCATTAATGTTTAATAAGAGTCATGTTTGCGGTCACATTAAGACCAATCGAGAAACCTTTTGACCTAACTCAGTAAACGGTAAATTTACTGGACTGTACAGAATGCGACAGGCAAGGATGCACAGAAATGCCCATCAAAATTTTTGAGGGGGCACATTTTAGGTGGGTTTTGAATTTTTAGTGGACCACATTTTGACAGGGCTATGTATTTTCGGAGTGAAAAGTATTAAAACAGAGAACATGGAGGAAAACATGGGTAGTACACAGCAAGTTTAATTGTATATGATCTACGATTTGTCTGATCCTAGTTTCGCTTGCACTGTTTTTATGAAGATGAGAGTAATATAATTTTTGGAGAGGATGAAGGGATGGTTCAGTCACCATGACCTATGGTAGGAGGGTTGGACAAAAGAAATTTAGATTTTTTATTATTTAAGAAATGATAAAGGAATGGTCGTAACTATTGTGGACCACAAGCAAAAGGGAAAACAGTCACATACTTTTTAGAAGCAAGAAATACAGGAAAGTAAAAAAATATAAATAAACACCGGAAGAAGGTGAAACATATAGAAAAAAAAACAACTTAAAATACAGAGAAGATCAAGAAATAAAAATATATTTTTCAGCGCGTAGAATTCAGTGAAGTGGAAATTTGAAGAAATCTTTTAATTATATATGAACACTTAATTCTTTAAAAATATATATTGACCATATAGTATTCGATGGTAAATCTTGACGGCCAATTGTAATAATAAAAAAAAATGAATTTTTAATTTCGAATATTTTGTAAATTTTTCTTATTTACTTATCTATTACTTACATGTTCTGGCTATTGTGGAGGAAAATCTCTGACAGATCTAGATCTATATTAACATATATATTGGAATATTTCTAGACTGTAAACATTGTAATATGTATTTACCAACTTTTCTAATTTGAATCAGATAAGGAGTGACTGGAATTATAAATAGGAGTTTGCGGGCATTGCATCCTTTCTAAGAGTTAATATAATTTTTATAATATTCAGAAAACATATTAATTATAAGTGTAAGTAATTTTAATATTTATGAGTTCTGAATAATTTTTAAAATAACCTACAGGAGAACGAATCACTATCGATAAAAAAATGGAATGGAGTAATTGCCAGTCACTCCCCCGTTCTTTCGTTTCATTGTTCGCCTTTAGACTAATTAGTTTGTAGAACTATACATTTTGATAATTTATTCGAGGATAA